AGGATGATTTCTCAAAGAGATCGTAAAACTGCTCAAAGTACAAAGCCATTAAAAAGTGATGTTGGAATCACACCGTCTAGGTCACCATCAGGCGAGTAGGACGAACAAGTCCAACTCGCCCAATGGCGAGTTAAATTGACATTTCCTTAATCACCATCGGGCCAGTAAGACAACAACTCCAACTGGCCTGATGGGGAGTCGGACTGACATTGTGTAATTCGCCAACGAGCGAGTAGGACCAACAAGTCCAACCCGCCCAATGGCGAATTGGACTGATATTCTTAACTCAGCATTGGGCGAGTGAAACAAGAATTCCAACTCATATTATGTGAGTAGGACCAACAATTCAAACTCTCCCGATGGTGAGTTTGACTGACATTACCCAACTCGTCATTGGGCGAGTTGGATCAAACGATTTACACTTGTCCCACTTTCGTAGCTTCCTCCTTCGAGCCTCGACTAAACTGTCTCATGTTTTTTTCTCAACCAGAGTTACTCTTAAAAATTTATGATATTACCCAAAAAGTCGGAAACTTGAGTGGAAAACTCGCCGAAAATATTTCTTAGTGACTGGTTGTTGGATAATCAACAACTTGTCACTCGCAAAGCACTGCTTTGACTTGATTTAAAAAAATGGAAACGTGAAGTTTATTATATAGGAGAAGGGAAAGGAGGTAAATTTTCTAAACTTCCAATGTGGGACAAAGTAAAATACCTAAGAATTTTAATTACAAGAAAAAATGGCCCCACTCTAGGTTTAGGGTCGTTACATTTACTTTCTTTGATGGAAAATTGCAGCATAGTGTCCTCTTTTATGACATCTATAACATGTCAGATCTTTAAATTTATTAGAGTTGAAAGACTTACCTTGGGATGTTGCTGCTGGTTGCTTCTGCTCTGGTTTCTTCTCTCTTATATTTAGAGTTTCCAAGATCATCTGTAACTTTTGTTGATTCTGAAAGTCTAACAATGCTGTAGAGATGGACTGTTGTTGAATCTTAGTTTCTTGAGCAGACTTCTTAATCTCTGGCTGCTGTGTAAGGGCACGTGAGATCACCTTCTTGGACTCAGGGGCGTAAGCATTACCATGCTTAGAAGCAGTTTGTTGTCTTGGTGTAGACATCAATCTCTTTGGTGTTGCTTGACAATGAGAATCTGATCTGGTGCATATTTGGGCTTGATATTTCTCTGAAAACTCTCTGTACATCCTTGCCTTAAGGTCTTCCCCAATCCAATACTGGTTTGTGTAGATGCTTGGAGTATTTTTCCATCAGCCACAATTCATAAGCCTTTTCAGTAAATGCTGAGACTGGTTATTGTAACATTTTTTCCTTTGGGATTTTGTTTGACTGCAGCCACTTCTCCATATTTTCTTCCCAATGCAACTACATTTCAGGGTCCTTGCTCTTTCCTGAAAAGACTAAGGAGTTGTATCTGTTATCACTTCTCTTCAAGATTTGCTTCCTTGGGACAGTTGGTGTTGAATGAATGGGCACTCTGTTGTATGTGGTGAATCCATAGACGCTGGACTTCTTTTCCTGCTGGAAAGGTTTGTAACCTTCATGTATAGCTTCTTCACGTTCATCCTCTTCCATACTGATTTCAGAATCGGTGTCACTGCTCCATGATTTGTTTCCTAGGCCAACTTCTTCCTTGTACAATCTTGTGTTGTTTTGAGAGTGTTCTGGTGGTTTAGGTTCAGGACAGGGTTCACCAGGGTCGTCCACATACTCTGAACTAGAGTAATCATCATCAGAACATGACCCATGACAGCCATCTTTCTCACTGGACCATGCTTGGCTTAAATCATAAAAACTCTCTTCTTCTGGTTGATCTTCCAAGGCGTCTCCTCTGTCTTTTCTTAACGTTTACCTTGCACAAACAGAAACAAAAAAGAATCAATTCGTGGCTAGACAAAAGAAGGAAAGAAAAATGAGCAGCAAAATGGAAAACTTATTAGTTCTTTTTTTTTTGGAAAGTTTGAAAACAAAGTGGAATATTTTTTTAAATATATCAGAGGCAGCAAGAAATATTTAAAACAAAAGAAAAATATTTTGGTTTTCAGATTAATGGAAAAAAGAACAATTTTTTTTAATATGCAAATAAATCGAAAAGGAAACAATTATATGAAATGAATGCAAACAAGCCTAATGATTGATTTTTTTATATAATGCTCGATATAACTATGGCATGCACAAAATTAATCAAATAGATAAGCTCTTTTTATGCAAGTTTATAGAAAAGAAACAATATGGAAAGCATTTTTTTTCTTTTTATTAAGAATGAATGAAATCTAAATGAGGCAAGTGGAGCTGACAACTTATTACAAACTAGAAAATGACTTATTTTTGAATCCAAGATTCACGGAGATTAAGGATGATTAGGAGAGATTTATGTAAGAATGTATGTGAGAATCATGATGAACAAGAGAGAGAGAGAGTGATTAATTCATTTTGTGTTTATTGTATAATGAAATCATTACAAGATCAAGATATAATAAAGTGAGTGCTTAACGGATACAATGAAGAAAATCTTGAGAAGTCAATTGATGATGACATCATGATATAAGATTGGAATCACTCTAACTTAAGATTTGATGATCAGAAGATTCCAAGCTTCACTTACGGAAGGTGGGATCATATTTGAGATGGATGATGAATGGATGACTGACTCTCTCAATCTGGTGGGCTGATTGACTCTCTCAATCTATGATATCCAAGGGATGACGACACTCTCAACAACCCAATACACACGAATCTATAGCACACTGACTCTCTCAATGAATCCAAAAGACAGATTTCTATGCAAAGACACTCTTTGATAAAAACAAGTAAAATGATTATATTTCTTAAAGATTGAAAAAGGTACTTTTTTACAATGGACGACCAAGAGCTTATATAGGCTCTGGAGACAATGATTACAATGCTAAAAATCAGAAAGAAATAAATGAAATTGGAGGGAATAAATGGATTATGGCTTATTCTAGGGAACTTGATGATCTAGAATCTGAAAAGTGTGGGCAAGAAGGAATGGTGTCTTTGGACTTCGACTGTAACAACCTGCCCCGTGGGAACTACCCATCCCATGGCCGTCAGGCTGGCCTGGCAGGGCACCGATCCCAATCCTTCTATTATGAGTTCTCACTAACTCCATAATTAGGTAGTTGATTAGACTCGAACCCAGGACCTCACCCTTTAACAACTCTGTGGGAACCGAAATTCACACTTGTCGATTTCCGTTAAATAAGGAAACTTAGGAAAACCCTAATTTTCCAGAGGAACCGGATCTCTGCGAAAGCCAACGACAAGTAACCAAATAAATGCGGAAAATATGAAAAACATAATAAAACGAACTTATAAAGAAAGTCGATCTTATTTCCGATTCGCGTAAGAGCGTTGCGATCATTACAAGGAATTACAAAGGCTTTGGCCGCAGGGGCCATCAGCGAGTTATAAACATAAAACCCTAGATCTAGTCGAGTCGCAGCTTGATAACAAAAAACGGAAAAAGATAGGAAAAAAGGTTTGAATGATTTCGGACTGAACCTTATGAAAGGCTGCCTACGTACCCCTTTCGGGGATCAAGTCGAACGTAGTTCAGTTGATAGAGCTGGACAAGAGATCGAACTGCCTGGGAGAGTTCGTCTTGTAATTGAGCGCCAGTCATAGAAACCGAACTTGTCGAGAAAAAGCCTAAGTTTCTAAGTGCGGAAAATTCTAAGTGTAGAAAAGTTGTAAAAGTCTCAGATGAGAGCTCTGAAATTCGTCCCCCAGCTTCTGCCCTATGCCTCCTCCTTATATACTCCTCCTTAGGCGGTTTTAGTCTTTCCATTTTGCTCGAAACCGA